GAATTAGAATTTTTGAATTTGATCACCATTCTGTAAATCTCTGTGCTGTACCCATTCTTTAATATTTTAATATCTTTACAGCAGCTTTACAATCCACAGTAATTCACATTAGCAGCTGTCTGTAACTTATGATCATGTTTCTTCTTCTGGAATAATCTTCTTATGTGAAACTGGCAGCAATAAAACGGTTATAAAAATAACCCAAACTGTTATGAAGTCTTTGAGAGTGGAGCTGTTTTAGGAAGTCGGCAATCTGCTTCGGTGTTGACCCTTCTCAGAATGCCCAGTAATTAATTAACAATCTGGTCCGAATTAAACCGTTTTTCCAAACTTAACGTGTCCAAAGAGCYATCCTCACCCAGTGAGGTGTTTATTGTTCAGAACTTTTTCCCAGAATCTCAATCCAAAATTCCTGAACTATCCCTTTAATTCACAAGCTTATTTACATCTGGAGCACATTTTCAACTCTGAGCAGCAAGCAGTCACAGACTCTGTTCTGCCAGTGCTTTATCATCAGATTTCTTTTTCCTTCACTGAGATACTTTCATCAGCATCTGCATCACGGGTTCCATCAAGGCTCTGTAGTAACAATTTAGATTTAATCAATCTTTGCCATGTGACTGCTAGGATGGAAAATTAATATGGAGAGCAATTAGAAAACAGTCATCTCAGTGTCAAAGATACTCCAGAATACTGAGATGAGAGCAGGAGATTGGAAAACATTACAGGGGCAAATTACAACTTTTTACAGAGTGCTGCTTGTCCGTAAACAAGATCCTGACTTTTATTTTACTTTATTTAGGCGTCATTCTTTCGGATTTTAAACGTGTCAACTCGCGCAGCAATGAAACCACAGTCAAAGAGTAATGACAAAGTTGCTGTTTCAGTCAGCACGGTTTAATAACTGTCTTTTCAGATTTTATGCAAGCTCTGTGTGATAGCTTTGTCACAGCGTTTTTAATGGGGTTCAGTATCAAAGACACAGTGGAAACAACAGGAAATCAAAGAGAATCTCTAAAGTCTGTGTAGGCCACCGGAAAAAAAAAGTGTAACAGCTATGAACTGCTCTAAATTATTTCCTTTTATAACATCTACACCACAAGATGCATGCTACAGCTCCTCGCTGTTTGTATTTACAGAATCAGGACATTATTGCTGCAACTAAAATGTCAGCATACAGAAAAAATATATAAAACAGTTTAGGCTAAAAGTAGCTGATATTCTTTGCAAAAAAAAGATCATGCCACACTGCAGTTCTATATTCTTAGTAGGATTCATCCACATTGCAAGCAAACTGACTGAATGGTGTCAGGCTGGGGATGCCTGTGGTCTTATCGTTTCTGTTACACTCAGACATCCAGAATGAAGATTTTGTCACTTGAATCTGGGTCCAGATGATCTTAGCCCTCCCTTCTGTCTGCTTACTCTCATTTCATAAAAATTCATCAAGGTTGAAGCTGCGTGTACCCTGCTTCTGGTAGGATAAGCGCTTGTGTTTTCCAAGCCTGGGTCTGTGCGGCTGCCAAAAATGACACAAAATAGCCAATGAAAGCTTAATGAGTTTTCATCAACTTCCTCAGTGAGATCATCACTTTGCTTTTTTTCTCTCTTTTTTTTTTTGTTCTGAGGATTTTATCATTTTAGCAAATTTTTCTGTTTTATTTTTTTACTACAGTAAGAACCTACAGGTGTAAAACAAGAGTAGAGTGAGCAAGAAGCGAGTCAGGTAGTTGGATTTTCACAACGTTAAGTATCTCTTCTCTGTAATTTAAAGATCACACGCCTTTATCAGATCAAAAGAAGGAGACAGGTCTGAATGTGCGACAGGCAGGCTGCAAATGTAAGATAAAATGGCTCAGAATGTGTGGGTTTGCTCCCTGTGCTGATGCAAAGTGATGCAGTTCGAGGTAACGACAAATAGGAAAACATGGACAGCGGTATCAGGAGGATTGGGCTGAAGCGTGTGAAGTAGCATTATATATTATTTTCCAAAGCCACAAAAGTGCTCCCATGTGGCCTTGACAGCTGTTTGACCTTTTTTGTTAGTATAAAACGCAGTATGTCTGATTTGTTTTTAATCCTAGTATTATTCTGCTGCATTGTATTCAAAGTGCACAACACACAAAAACAAATTCCACATGCAGCCTCCGCCTTCCACCAAACTGCAATTATTAGACATTAAAATAGTGATCGGAAATGATCCCAATGACATCCTGATTTGTGTTGTATGTTAGGTCTGTTCCTAGAACTGATTGGCAAGCGTAATTTCCTGACTTTTCTTGATGACTTTGAATACACATTCTCTGCAGGAGGTGCCTTCACTGCCTTCTATTCTCCACCTATTGACTTCCAAACCTCAGTGCTCCTGTAAAAGCCCCTTAATTCATCTCTTTCCATCACGCTTGGCTCATTTTTTGGGGGGGGAATAGGAAGAGATTATGTTTTGTCAGAGGTCGATGGCCTGTCACTTTTTCTATTTCAATGTTCTCTCAGTTTTTTTTCTTTCTTTTTTTTGTGGGGCCTTTCAGAGCAACATCTGCGTTTTATGAAGCTCTAAGCAGAGGCAGGATGCGTGTGTGTTAATAGCACTTGGCTTCTGTAAYAATGTCATTTACAACCCAGTTGCTCTCCGATAGACCCCTAAAGGAAAGGAGAGAAAATGGCTTTCACTGCATATGCAATGTAGAGAGCATGCAACTTGTGTATATTTCTTTGTGCCTTAAGGCTTTTCATGCCTTAGAGGGTGCTTTGGGCTGTAGAAATAAGCCAAAGTGTTTAGAGGAAATTGCATTCATTACCAAGACGCTTGTAAATTTTTAATCAGTGCAGAAAAAATAAAGAACTATTTTATCAAACACGTCAAACAAAGAACGTGCGAGGATTTTCACACTCCCAAATAAAGCTTAAATTCATGTTCCATGACCTAAAAGGATGTTACATCCTAATCTAAAGTGTAATCTTTCTGTTGCCAGAACGACGGAAAATYTAAATACTGCTTCTAAATTGTTAGTGGATGAATTCGAAACACAGTCTTTCAAAAAGCAGTTATGTAGAACTGAACATAAAGCACTGGGGATTGGAAAATGGCTTTAAAAAGTGYGGTTATTGCAAAACATTTAGTTATGCATTTTTCCTCATTTATATGTTTATTTTTCCATTCATTGCCTTCATTATGTTCTTGGTACCTGGTAAAGACTTTTACTTGTGATTGCATTATTACATACTGATTGCATATCTAAAAAAAAARAGAAATAAGTAGCAGCTWAATGCCTTTTGTCTCCTTGATTGCTGCCACTGCAGTTGGCCCAATCAGCATGYGTTTATATTACCATGTACACACACCAGTGGGGGAAAAAGTCTCCTTTTTTGTTCTGTTTAGCTTTATAATTTTATTTTACCTGTTTGGCTGCTTCGTGTAGTTACTTATTTATGCATGCCYTGATAACATTATGCAGATATAGCTCACAAAATTATTATCTTACACCAAACATATTGAATTACATTTCTGCCCAAGTTGTAATTGTAGATTTCATATTGCTTGCTCATTTTAAAGTCACCCCTTGTAATAAAATGTCTCAGTGTAAACAAATTTAGGTAAAAAAATGATCCAAGTACGCTTATGTGATGCTTCTGTTTTCCTCTYAATCATTCGTGTTGGTCATTCTTTGCGCCGGTGTGTAAATCTCCCTTGGTTCCTTTTTTACTCGCTCGTTCAGTCACGCYGTTTCCGTGTTGGCTGTCAGTTCCATCAGTTTATACTTTATGAGAGACAGCTCAGACATATCTGCGCCTGAAAAGCCCRTCTCCAATCTTTAAATATCGATCCCCAGGGCCTTGGCTGAGGTGCCTCTCGTGAGCACAGAAAAAAAAGGGAGGAAAACAGATCATTAGTGATTTTAATTAGGCGATCTTTCAAGCTGCAAATGCCAGATATAAGCATATGCATTTAGGTCGATAACAATCCCTCTCACAATTTCCTTTTTTGTCATCCCGAGTCTCTCTGAAATGGAAGATGACTGCTGCCAGAAGTGAAATGAGCAGTGGGGGAGTGCGCAGATATGTCACCGTGTATGTGTGTGGCAGTTTCACTTACAGATTAAAGCGAATGGGAGCGCTCTTAGAAAGCAAAATGGAGTTGTGGAAAATTAACCGCTCTCTTCTCACATCAAGTGGTTTTAAAGTTACTTCTGAGGTTCAAATCCTTCTGATTCGTCATCAACATTTTCTATCAAGTCCGCAGAAAGACAAATGAGAMGAATTTTAAAATCACAGGATCTTCAGCATAATCCAGCTAATTTGTTTCATCATGAGGATTTTTTWAAATTGCATCATTTCCATTTGAATGAGGGACTGTAACGTATTTTTGCTGCAGCCGATGATGCAAAAATGTTCTTGAAAGTTCTTCCCCCAACACAACAAAGCGCAGCACAGTTAGACAGACTCAGACATGTCTTTTTTCACTCCAGCGTTAAACATCATTACATATTTATAACTCGGCGCCAGATGACAGAGACAGAGAGGGAGCGAGATATGAACCAGGCAGCAACACCGCAACCTGTCTGGTGTCTTTCTCTGGGCTATCTGATTGCTCTGTTTAAACCTGCTTTTTATCTATCGTTGCTAGAGAAAACCCAATTACACAAGAGCTGCAAATGGACTTTTGATTTGACAATACATAATTTAATTGGCACATTAGATGTGCCCCAAACACCCAGCTTCAGTTATCAGTGAGCGGGGTAAAGGGGGCTGCAGCTTTGAGTGGATGGAGATGGCCGACAATACAAGGAAAGCAAATCACCAGAAAATGTCTAACTTGGCTCGTTTGAATCAAGATAAAACACATTGATTTTTTTATTCATTTCCTYTATTGTGTTATAAAAAATGACAAAGAAATCAAATTAAAGCTACGTGAAGAATAATCAAAATGAATTCTGGGTGCCTAAATTAGGCTTGCTTTAGAGAAAATCTGACAGTTTTTTTCTCTCTTTCCTCCTCTACAGATCCAAGTGAGGGCTTTCACTGCCAGGATGAGTGTCGCATCCTCGGTCACTCTGATCGCTGTTGGATGCCTCGCGTTCCCGTCCCAGCCCGCGCCAAGTCCCCGGAACATGGCCGTAACGTCATTGCTTTGTCTATTGAGGCCACCACAGTGGACGTGCCACACTACGAGGATGGCACAATCAAGAGAACTTTTGCCACCTTTGGCAAGGATGGTTCGGAGGATGTTGAGCGGGGMGAGATAAAGGGAAAGCGGACTCAGGAGTCTCAGGTGTGCAGCCCAAAGGCCAATGGCGGGGCCATTCGTGAAGCTGGTAATGGGCGCGAGGCTGCCAGCCCCATTACCTCTCCTGTGCACCTGAAGAGTCCTGTATCCAAGCCCTCGTCTGCCTACAACACACTGAAATGCCGCGACGCAGAGCGAATCGCCAACCACAGCCTGCTCCGGCAACCTGAGGGGAAGGACAGTGAGCCGGCAGTCAGGGAGATCAACACGCTCCTCCAAGATGGCGGAGACAAGGAATCGCCCAGCAGCAAGCGCCTGAAGGACATTGTGCTTTAGCAAGCCTCTCGATAACACGCACTCGATGACATGCATACACACATACAGTGCAAACCCACATATAAATATTTAYCCCGCAATAGCTGTGTGCACACAGTCAAGCTGTGGATGGGCAGAGACACACCCATTTGCAGTATACAAAATTTGCGAGCCAGCTTGGGCTGATGATAATGAACTGTAGTATGCTGCAGCTTGTTGTGTGCTCGAGCCCAGGTAGTGGATGTGGCTTTGTTGTAGTCGCAGTACTTTCCCCTTGTTTGCTTTTGTTCTGTTTYCTTTCAGTCTGCAATGAGTGAACAGGCAGGTTACTGTTGACTACGTGGACACGGCCAGTGGAGCTCTCCAGCCCTTGAGCCAAAGCAGAACACTTACATGTTTGGACACCTGAGGTGCCACTTCATACGTAAACTTATGCCTTTTGAACTACTTTTGTATAACAAACTGACATTTGCCTTTGGTTTTGCAGTCTGTTTTAGCTGCCAAAATCGCTCCTTTTTCCTTTGTATAGTGAGCTCTGACACTGTAATAAACGACCACAGATATACACCCATTCACGCCAACAGTTTCCAGTAAGGAGGAGGAACAAGAGGCCTCTTGGGTTATGTTCGCCCCTCTTCCTGACTGAAAAGAAAAAAAAAAAACTTCTTTGCTTTTCCCTGAGGACAACCTGGTGTCATCAGACTGTGGGGTCTTTAAAGTATTTATATTTTATCACAGATGGAGCAAAATGAACTCCCGCTATCTGCCAAGCCGCTCCGAACACTGGAATTGGGACAGACAGATCTTTGTGTTCAAAATGAGTTGTATGAAAAAAAGACTTACTGCTTTTGAAATCTCCTGTGCCCAACCTTGATTGTAGCAAGTGGAGCACAAATTTAGAGCTTTGTGCTTTGGTCTTGTACTTTTCTTTTTTTCTTTTTTTTTTGACTTTTAACTATGGGGCTAGGATAGAAGGGATCGTCACTCATGTCTTGCTATGTGGAACTCTGTATAGGGTTTACTATTATCATTTTTAATAACCTGTTGTTATGTGACAATCCCTTTAATGTTTTGTTTGAAAAGAAAAAAAAATCCAAAAAAAGATAAACATTGGTGTTCAACTGAAGCTACAGTAGCGTTTGTTACACAAACACAAAAATAAAAAAATATATGCCAAAATATATTTTATAAATAATTTAAAATGTATAATGAGAATATTTAATGCTGTGTAGTTCTTTTATGAGTAAGTTATACTTGAAATTAACTTGCTTTTGTTCATTTGTCTTTCAATTTTATATTGAACATTTATTTTATTTTTATTTTTATTTTTTCAGAATTTTAATTGGAATAATTTTTGTTTACTGTGATCCCTGGCAACCGTTGACTTGCAGTCTACCTTGTTGTAAAGAGTTTCTTATTGGTCAGTTCTTGTGCCATCCAGTTTCTGTGTGGGCTACTAGAAAAAGTTTTAAAAAAGACAAAAAAAAATACACAAAAAAGCAATTTCAGCACCAACATTAGTGTATCAGTTCAACAAGCTTAGAGTGAGATAGCGAAAGAAACCAAAAAAAAAGATGTTAACAAAATKTTCCAACTGCAAGATGTTGCTTAATCTTTGTATCTCAGGAGGAGAAAGGACAGCTTCCAGTGTTCCTTAGCCTACAACAGGTTCCCACAAACAAGTCGACGTTCCTATCGGACTTGAGTTTAAATTYGCTTTTTCTTCAGCTACAACTGAGGGCACTCAGACATGCAGACTAGCTTTGCTCAGCACTGCTGTCATCGGGTGCCATCTGTGTTCAGCTGATCTCCAAAACAAGGCTAAGACCACGGTGGTAGAAGCAGGGCTCTCCCCTCCTACAAGCGCCACACAACAGAATGGGTGGAATCATGTTTGAACAGACCTAAGGTCTTCAAAGAACCATGTTGCACATCGGCACTGGGGTTTGATGTTGCTTTGCAGTGAACAGTTTGTACAATGTGGAAATATATGAATGGAAATGGACAGATTGCATACAACAAACTAGATTTTGTAGCTGAATGTTTTGCTGGTCTCACCCATGGCTTCTGGCAACATAAAAATTGGAATAATCACTGAATGTATACAGCAGCTTATAATTAAACTATTAAATGTTTTCCTCATTGTTTCCTTGTCTTTACTTGACTCAAGAGAAGATTAGAGTTGAAATAAGTTTGTTTTATAAAAAAGTCACATACATTGAAATTGAAATATATTTGATCTTTTAAAAGTGGTTTCTGTGTAAAAGTTAAGAACAATGACCAGATTTATGACTAATGGATAGTCAAAGCAAGGTCACAAGCAAGGCACTAAACCCAAAAACATCAAAGTGAAACTAAAAAACATGTCCAGACAAAATAAAAAGTTGTTTGTCAAGTTGTCTGTTGTGTTTAGATAAAACAATGGTTCATCCCTTAGATTCAGAAGTCTTTTTCTACTTTTGTGCTAATACAAAAAAAGGTCTAAGCTAAATATTAATTACAATTAGCCGAAGTGGGGRAAAAAGTTTACGTTAATGTAATTTCATTAGTTCACATGTTCCTTATTTTTTGACTTATTTAAAAACGTTATTTAATTTGGTTGAAGAGTTTTTTGGTCTTCCATCCAATAAACAAGAAGAAACTGCCTAGATGGATGCAGTTCTCATGACACAGTTGATAGAACAACTTTCTTCTCACAGCACTACTTAGAATGGGATGCCTGACAATWCAACTGAAGGCTGAATTGTATAATWATAAARGGAGAAATAGTAGATTAATGAGATTTGTGACTTAMATCAGTAGAATAGGATCCAAAGTTCCAGAAAAAACTTTCCAACACCTCACAATCTATGAAAAAAACATTTTAAACTTTCTGTTCTTTAACAACCTCAAATTGGGCCTTTACAGCTAATTCATCCATCCATCCATCCATCCATCCATCCATCCATCCATCCATCCATCCATCCTAACCTGCATCTTCCTTTCAGGGTCACAGGGGTCACTGGTGCCCATATTCAGCTGTCACTGTGAGGAGCAAGGCACACCCTGGACAGGTCACAAGTCCACCACAGGAACTACAGCTATCACTTAAAGTAATTGTTAAATGAGTGCCAGAGGTTGTCTAAAAAACGAGAAACTAGATACCACATAGCCTTAGTAGCATGTATCACCCCTGTACAAACGCAAAGTACCAATGCACCAGAACTCAGAACTCACCAGAACAGATTTGTTGTTTTGGGTGGGGGAGGGCACTCATTGGTTGGCCATTCATCAGAACTAAACAACAAAAGAAATCTGAAGATCCTATGTTGAATAGTTTTTGAGTAAGCATTTTTATGTGTCCAGACACCCCTAGGAGCCCCCTCCTCAAATATGGGGTTTATCGTAAAACTGTTGGCTGGCACAGTGTAGGTCGGACACATCTACATTCCTGCCACATTTCATGTTGATTGGTGCAGCCATTCCCGTGACACGGTTAACCAAATAAAACTGAAAGTAAAAAGTAAAAAGAAAATAAACAGAACAAAAAACAATATGACCCTCTCTCTGTGTGTTTGGGGTCATAATTAGCCAGCAGTCCCAACCAACAATAGATTCAASCAACAGTGGATCATCAGAATGTTAAGTTCCATTACTTTCTACATCTCACCAACGGAACAACCATGAATAAAACCATTATGCTATTGGTCATTGTTTGGAAAATCTAAATTGTTTTGCTAGATTAAGCTAATGTTAGCTGCAGCAGCTATGGAACTGGTAGCTACCATTTAGCRATTACAGTTTCTAATGGTTGCCTAACTTCTAAACTGTGTTCTGGTTTTCTATCATTTTTTTGAGCATTACATTACTGTTCTGACACCTAATACTTCTTTTGGAGGAGGCAATGTAGATTTTTTTTTCTCTCTTATCTAAGAACATAGCAAAATGCAGTTTAAGTAAACTGCAGGCAGGATCAATTGAGATTTGGGCTTTATTTACCTTACAGATTTCTGGAGGGTTTTCCACAAAATATTTTAAGGAAAGCTTACTTTGAGCACAATTTCATTTCTTTATTCCAGTTAATAACCTTTTGTCAATTTTTGTGATATTTAAAATGCCCATACTTGCTAATCAGAACCAGGTAGCCTGTCACTGTGGCTCTCATTTAGTTTTTTTTTTCTTTCACAGCTAACAGTATGATGTCATTAAAACACCAGATCCCACTTGAAATATTGATTTACCAGTCAACATTTTCGCTGAAGGGTCTAAAAGCCATCAAATGGGTTGAAAGGCAAAAGGAGTCTGACTCTTTCTCTGCGAGTCTACAACACTTTCAATGACATTTTCACTCAATAAAAGCTCTGCTTTCCACCTCCCCCACAGACAGCAGGTATTTCTCTTGAGTAAGTTTGTATGGATTGATAAAAAGAAGCGGAAAAAAACATGGAACAGGAGACATTCCAGCACGAAGAAAAGAGAATGAAGCAAACAAATGAGGGGAACACACAGCTGCCACACAGCTGCCCTCTATGATAAGAAAAAGAGGCTGGCTTCATTTCTATAATTAATTTGCCATTCCCTCTGTACCCCCTGGTGGAGCCAACATGAAAGCTGGTCTGAAAGTGTACTTGCTAACACATCCATTAGACTATAAGGAAGATCTTGTTTCTTCCAGCTAAGTTCTCTTCTCATGGGCAATGCTGTGATTCCAGCCCTGCCTTACTCATATGAATTACTCAAAGCCTTTCAGCTGTGTTTAGACCCCTGGGTTTCCATAACAAACTAAACCAAAGTTACAGTCCTGCTGCGTCCAACTGAAGGGCAAAGTAAGCAATGTAAAATTAATTCTAAAGAACTCGGTCTCATTATCATTAACCTTAAACATGAGCTTATCAGCACATTATAGCAAATATTCATCCTCAGATGTGAAAATGTTCTGTAATTTCAACTGAACATTTCCTCTGGCCAAATGTCCTTTTCCCAAAAAAATGAATAAATAAACTGTGTTTGCTTATTTAATTACTTTTGATTTATGGTAGCAATAGGTTAATTTACATTATGGTGAGATTTATATCAAAGGTTACCAGGAAACATGTACTTTTTGATGATTCTTTTTTTTTTTTTTTTTCATTTTAAAAACAGATATTGAAAAAGGAAAAAATAATGGATAGTTATTCTGTATTCATTTTGTATTCCAAAAACAGGAAAACAGTTCATATTTTTATGTTTGTCAAACCAGAAGTTTAACCCTGTKATCAAGGCAACTCAGCGCTGTCCTGTGGAACCTCCTGCAGCTTCAGGTTTCTCACCATGGACCTCTTGGAGAACGGCTTAATGTGCTAAAAGCACAAGAAGCTCCAGGAAATGCTACATCAGCTGACACCTGTTAAAGAAATGTAAAACAAGTTAGCTAGAGTTTATTTATTGTGRCTGACTGGTTAGCTAGTTATAAAGTTAATTGTGTTTATTTTAATAAAAACTACAGTCTGTAGTTAGTGAAGTAAAGAAATGTAAAACTAGTTGGTATTTGCTTGCTTGCTTGCTTGCTTGCTTGCTTGCTTGCTTACTTGCTTACTTGCTTACTTGCTTACTTGCTTACTTGCTTACTTACTTGCTTACTTGCTTACTTGCTTACTTGCTTACTTACTTACTTACAGGCAGCCACTAATGTTTAATAAAACTTGTAAAATGCAGCAAGGAGAGAGCATGAATCCGTACTAGTGACTGATTTCGAACATGATAGAAAGCAGGAGAGAGTCGGCAGCTTGACATTCCTTCAATACAAAATTGTTTGTCGCCTGTTCTTTTGAGAGAGATCCACCCTCAACCAACCCCCAATCAGGCACACTGATAGGTCTTGCTCCGGTGACCTCATTCTATCAGAAGGGCTTGCAGCTGCTGTAGCAGCCTCATTATGACCAACAACTCCATTCACCAACCTCTGGTGGAAGTTCACCATGAGATTAGGTGACAGCCAACATGTCTGACCCTGTCAAACAGCTCACTTAATCTTGTGCTAAATTATTTCAAGTCAGAACTGTGTCAAAAAAGGTAAGAAAATTAAGACATTTTGATTCCATCTTAAAGGGATCCCTGATCACTTGTAACATTAGACTTYATTTGATAAACACTTATTTTAACTGTTAAATAAAKACTRTAAAACTGTAGGCTGTTTAGCTTTTATGATTTTTAAAAATTATGTTTTGACACAGGGCCATTTTTTAACACACAAAGCATTCTGGGTAAAAGATGACGTGGATAGGTCATTGGTGTGAGCGAGCTATATCCACCCTGAAGGTTAATCTTGGACAATATCTGACGATCGACTCTTTTAAATGAAACCAGAGAGCGTTGACATAGAGGAGAAGGTAGAAATGATTCAGTATATAATTAAAAATATGGATGGAGGACAACAGAGCTGCTTCATGGAAGAAGAACCTCAGCTTAGCCTGTTAGTCTTTGAGCTAGCACCGACGCTATTGCCTTAGGCTATATATATTAGCTCAGTGCTAGAGCAACAAACAAGCTAAACTGAGGTCCTCCATCCATATTTTCAGTTGCAGGCTGAGTCATTTTTGTGTTCCCCTCTCTGTCATGTGGATGGAGGACCTCAGTGACGAGAGGAGAATGTGTAGCTTTGAGCTAATATATGAATATGGTGATAGCTTCGGGGCTAGCGCAAAAGCTAACAGGCTAAGCTGGGGTTCTTCTTCCATGAAGCAGCTCTGTTGTCCACCATCCATA